ATGTGACCCCAAAAATATAATGGTTATTAACCAGTGCTCAGTTGTACAAAGCCAGGATAGTGTTATCCAGCAGATAAATCCTTATCCATTGGATAAGCCGATGCTGTTATTCAATAAATTTATCCACTGGATAGGATTTATCTATCAAATAGCGCTATACCAGCTTTGTACAACTGGGCCCAGCCCATAGGTCCAGATGGTAACAAAGGTCTTAAACATAAAGTTTGAGGCCATTAGGCTGAAGGCACAGTTTTCCCTTTTTGGACGGACTCTCATCTGTTATCCCAGGATACCTGACCTTTCACTTAGAGATTGAAAATACTGCCTGCTCCAACAACACTATTATACAGTGCTTTGCTAAATAAATGCAAATTTTTTTCTTGTTCCAGTTTATTTCGGGGATAAATTGGCACATCCATTTTTTTTTCTATATTTTTAATATTATGCAACAAATTTCTTATTTTTGCTTCCTGAGTAAACAGGAAAACAAGAGAAAATTTGTATTAACCAAGTAGTGTATTTTCAGAATACCCAAACAGGAAAAAGATAAATGCTATTTTCTAGAAGTTGATTTTGCCTCATCATATTGAGTTTGTAACAATGCCATCCAAATATTTTTTTTATTTCTTTGAGTACTAAGGGAAGATTTTAGAATCAAAATTTGAACTATATCGATTAAAAGCTGTTTAATTATGTGCCACAGGGATCCCAAACCTAAGAAACTCTAAACCACTAATGCTCAGGGTGGTAAGCCTGTGCTTTTAACAATTTCACACATCAGCTGTAAATCAACCAACCACTCATTCAACCACTCTTACAACCATTAAATAACCAACCAATGAACTGACTGATCTAGTAACTGAACCACCCACCTATCAAACATATAATCCTGTAACCCAACAATCTTATCATGATTTGTTCTAATGATATCAAAGTAGACATACACCCTTCTCATAATGGCTGACAAGTGCACAAAAACCAGGTCACCCAGTCATTATTTCACAATAAAAGATATAAAATTACATGAAATGACTTTAAAGAAGAAAAGTATTAAAAAATGACCTTTGTTTTGATCTGGATTAGCGCTAACAGCCTTTATTTTGAATGAGCAGCTTGGCTCAACCTTGCAAGATGACTGGGTGACCTCATTTCCGTGTGTTCATCAGCCATTATGAGAAGGGTGTATGTCATACAAGATGACTGATACAAACCTCTGTWGGCTCAAAGTGGGTCTGAAGATTCAACTTGTAAACAAAAGTTGCTGCCTGGAATACAAAACACATTAAATTTTCAAAAGTCTAATCTTAGTACATGTAGTCTCACTGTGTCACTCACAGTTCTTTATTCAAGGGATCCAGAGTAGAACTATTTTGGAGACTGGGTTACCTGTRGCATTCACCAGAGGTTGGATCTCTATAGAGCATTTTTATTCACAAGACAAGGCCTGCCATATTGGTGTACCAAACAATAGAATCTTTCACCTGCACAATTCCCGGGGGATAGAAATGTATTGTTCTGGTAGACCAACATGGCTACAGGTGACATCATGTGAATATGAGCTCCATTTTGGAAAGCAGTCTAACCACAGGAAACCCAATACCAACAAAAAAGTCCAACTACCATTTTGTAGTTTATAATGTCATCACATGTTAGTAGAATCTGTTAGGTTTCTATCTTGTTTCAAGGGTTTTTCTGAGGGTTCTTAGGTTTTCCCTACATGTAGCTAGCTAAATACCAATTTGCTCTGTGAATGACTCCCATGCACTTGCCTTGATCAGGCTAAAGGCTGTTTTAGGGTGTTGATAATACTTGAAGGCTTAAAGGTTATCATGTAAAAACTTTAAGTTGCAATACTATGTACCTCAAGTGAAATTATAATCTACTTGAAGGGTTTGATATCCACAGTGAGATGATTATTAGAGGATTCTGAAGGGGTAAAATGGGAAGTGAGATTTGCATATTTGCCCTGGGAAAAATTAGAATTTAAAAAACAAAATGGGAATGGTAAAGTGTTTACAAAGGAATAGATTTGGGATATATGGACACTGGGAAATTCGTAAATTAAAATTGGGTGGAAATGGTTTTGGGATTCCCCCTATTTCCTTCAGGACCGTAGTCTAATAGGTTTTAAGAAGCCCATTTAAACATACATGTACTGTAAAATACCCTCAATGATTACCTCTTTATATCTTTTTCCAGTGTGAAGCAAGTATCGAATATGCTTCTCAAGAAAACCATTATTGCTGCAATCCAGTTTAAAGATCCTCTTAATTGGCTCAAAGAATAACAGCTTGGAGGTGACAATAATTTCCAAAGCATTATCCTGATGTTCTTGGCTGGGAATCAGCCCTAAATTTTGAAGTTCTAGTTGGTTCTTTCCTTCAGTCTGCCTCTCCAACCAGCTTTCAAATTCAACCAACATGACGTGAGTCAAAGAATTCTTGCCAGAAAAGAGATCATGTTCAGCATTAGACATTATGAAGMGAACAAAATTTAACGGATCTTTACTCACACTAAAAGACTTCCTCAACATTATTCTAAGATCATCTTTTAAGTCTGCTGTAAATAAGTATTGCAATTCATTAAGCCAGTCTCGTTCTGATAAACAATTATCTAATCTTTGCTGCAGAGTAGATGAAAGTGCATCTGATTCATCGACTTCAAAATCTGAATATGAAGAGTCACTTTTGTTCCAGGATATTGGTTCATCACATTGAACAGTCGTCTTACTATCTTGAATCCTTGTGTCTTTGTCTTGCATTAGGAGAGTTTTATACTCAGACTTTTCAGTTTTAGAAGGAGTTGTCAACTGAGTGGATTTCTTTTTAAAGTTTTTTAGGAATTCCTTTGGAACTAATGGATTTTTTGAGGATAATACTTCAAGGTACATGGCCTCACAATTACTGTTATCAACAGTACTTGCAACATTAACACAACTGTTGATGCTGCTTGGCAGGTAAACAGATTCTTGATATGTTTTCTCTGCAAACGTTATAAACACAATTAATACGTGAATAATAATATTTACTGGATTTCATAGTCACCATCTTTGTCTTAATTAACAGACAAAAATTTATAAACCTGGTACTTCTCCATCCCATGTGGCCATAGATCAAGTCTGACACATGTATTGAGCAGCCAGCAGCCATTAATATTTTTAGGCCTCCTCCTCTTACTAAATGCATCCTGATCCTACGCCTCTTCCCCTGTCCAGAAGCCCCTCCCATTCCCAGCCCCCCATAAACAGACCCAGCTAAAAAACTCTCAAAATGTAAATTCAAATGTCTCTAGAAATCTGTTGGTCATGTCAAACTAATGGAGCCTTATAAAAAGTATCTTGGATGAGAGACTGACATAAAAATACAAAATAAATCGCCCTTCTTTTTGTTGAAATTTGTGGCATTTCTTTCGTACAGTATTTCCATTTTAGCCTCGTGTTCAAGACAATTTTTTGAAAGGTCCATTGATTCCAGGAAGGTYTGTGGAAATCCAAGACAAAAGCCAGGATATAAGTATCCATGTTTGTGCAACGAGTTTATTCTGTTATTCCTACAACCTGGAAACTTGAAAAGTCTTAGGTAWCGTTGGATCACTACACCAATATGGTTCAATGGTTGCTTGGTGCATGGCGACTCTACCATGGCCCTTAGAGCGTTCTTCGGTCCAGACAAAATCAGGCAAATAGGTATACATAAGTCCAGGAAACATTAATTTACATTAATTCSAAGCATCTAAATCAATCTAAACTTTTAAGCATTGATTCTTTATTAACTTTTCCAAATACATTTAGAATTTTTAAACAGAAGTAGTTTAATATTTGAATGRTTACATCTACATGTGTTTTTAAAAACTTACCATGTTCATTGCTCGCTTTGCAATCTTCATTCTTGTTTCCAGTGTTCCCCTTATTGTCTTCAAATAACACATTGTTTAGAAATTCCTTCAAAGCACAGAAAATAATCTGGAAGAATACTATCATCGCAATGGGTARTTGAGTTTCAAAGCATTCAAAATAACATCAGAACAAGGCCGATCACAAAAATGTTTAGCAAAGACATGTGCAGCGAACAACTGTTGACAGGAGAAACCACAGGGAGCCCGGGCCGACACGAGTAAAAAACGTCTGCGCATGCTCTGAATCCGTATGCAAATTAGTCAAAACATAAGTACTTTGACTTATCAAACATGCCTGATAAATTGGACTTCACAAAATGCCAAAACTTAGTGTCCATGCTTGAAACTTAAGTCTAATATTCTTTCATATTGTGTTTGTTAATACAGTATATTGGTCTGACAAAAGTATACTCTCGAACTTATTTGTATACTTGCGCAAACGCGTTTTCYCTAAGTGTTGCCTGCCCGGCCCACGACTACTCAAAATAAAAGATTACTTTTTGTTATGATTAGGTCCTTGTGAATAACAGGATGCTGAGGCCTCAATACAATCTTCAAAGATTACATCATCAAAATATCTAAGAAATTATTTTATTTATGTTTTATTTATGTTTTATTTATGTCGGCTGAACAATTACCCATACGCCATTTCGGTCTTGGTTCCCTCATTTCTTCCTTTCTAAACTTCTTCCAAGTTTTCGCTCGCAATTTTTTTTCTGTTGCAACATCAGATTCAAATAATAGTGTTTGTAATAATGAAATTTGTAATAAGCTACAGTAGCGAGCTATGGGAAAAGCTAAAATGTGTGGCAATTCTTAATCTCGTATCTAAAAGCCAATAACAAGCAAAGCCAGTAAAAAAAGGCTTTTGATGAACAACCACAGGGAACCCAAGGTCATTTTTAGTGAACATAGAGCGAAATCTCTTGATCGAAACTGGCTAAACTTAATGTAGGTATGGGAGACATGGAACTTACAGCTAAGTCAGAAAAAAGAATTAATAAAGAGCCCACTCGTTTTGGCTCGAAATTAAAATTGCTGCCAAATCCATAGGTAACCCAACAAGCTTAGGGGGGAAAAAGGAAAATTTACGCTTTAAATTTGATCTTGGTGGACGGTCGCTACCCCGTACGAAACCGGTCCCACTTAATAATAATAACAGTGTCTCACTACTTGTTGTTTTTTTTCTTTGCAACCCGTCTGGTATGTGCTTACACTAGTGTACCAATTTCCTGACATCCTGTAAGCGGCGTAAAACCCTTACTTCCTGAGACTTGTCTCGCATGTTTTACCAACTGTCCAGTCCTTTGGAGGCTTGCTTGCAAACTGAAGCTAAATACACTATACCCTGGTCTGACGCAGCGTGAACTATGGAGTTTTGCTCCTCCGCTACGTCAACAGCAAACACTTCATTTAAAGTCATGCAGCTTTCGTAATGTGAAGTGTGACTTCCTATAAGACTCTTGGGCCGGACGTGAAACTCAACAKAAAGTAAACGTTTTGTAGCTTCGTAATTTTTTTTGGAAGTAGCCTTAAGCGGCATTTTTTCTAAACCGACAACGTCACAAGYGCAGTAACCACTGTCACTGACTACTCAGTACTATGCCGCTTTATAATCTATTTTTGTTAGAGACATGGACGACCGTACTTAACGATTGCCGAAGGCAGAAACACACGAAAAAATGTTAAAGTGAGACCTTTGGACGGGGCTTTTACTGCATATTTATTGCATTGGCTATTATTATTTTAAATAGCAAAGAAGTAATTCAATCCCCTCCTCCCCTCGGTCCGCGAGAGAGCAAGTACTTGAACATCATGGCGATAATATGCCAGTTGTAGTTGCCTCCAAACAATAACTTAGTAATATTAATAKATTTGAATGACAAGACTATAGCACTTATCATGGTTCACTGATGCATGGTACTCATTCCTTTGCCATACTAATAATTAGAGAGGTTAGTGTTTCAGTCGTTGTTTTTTGAGACAGGAACAGACATGGCTTCCTTGAAAGAATCGTGGAGAAATGCCAGCCAAGGYCATTTTAATATTGCCTTGGACGAAATGGAATTTACAACCAGTGTCCTCAGCGAAAACGATAGAATCTTCCTCGATGCCGTGAGACGAGATGACATGACTGCCGTCAAAGAATTGATCGATGGAGGATTGGTTGATGTAAACTGTATGGATGACAATGGCYTAACACCTGTACAGATAGCTGTCAAGGAAGGAWACCTCAACATACTCTCCTTCTTGCTTTATAGAAAAGYTGACATTTTTATTGGCAACGCTTTACTCGATGCCATCAACAAGGAATCTCTAGAATGTGTCATGGTTTTGGTCGACTACGACAAACACCAAAGGGAAGCCGGAACTCTACCAGTGAAAAAGGAAAGGAAAATGWGCGCGATTAAAGAAACGGAGCATTACACCAGTTTTTTAACACCTCTCACCCTGGCAGCTCAATTAGGCAACTATGAAATCACAAAGTTTCTAATGACACAAGGCTACACCATCGAAGATCCCCATCAAAAGTTCTGTGACTGTGTAGAGTGTTCAAAACTAGGTAGACTTGGATGTTATCTGAGCCATCTAAATACTTATCGTGCCTTGGTAAGCCCTGTGTACATCTCACTGACATTTCTCCTTACGGAGGAAAATCAGAGAACGAAAAAYGTTGATCCCTTTTACAGGGCTTTAGTTTTGAAGAAGGAATTATTGGAGCATGCCGACATGGAATATGAGTTCCGAGAAGACTACTTAAAGTTGGCAAAAGAGTGCGAGGACTTTGCTGCTTTGCTGTTGGACCAGTGTCGTGATTTGCAGGAGATTTCTAGTACCATGGCTATGCCTGGAATGAAAGGAGTTGCTGGAGTAGAAGTAAGAGGTGRCTCGAGCAGACAGAAAAAACTAAGTGTGCTTAACTTTGCCATCAARTACAGGAGTAAAAAGGTATGTAAAATTTCAGCAACAGAACCTGGCTTTGTGTATAACATGCAATTGTAAATTAAAAAGGATTGCACAAATTGGAGGCTAATGAAAGCCGCCGCAAAACATACATAATCTTCCATTCATGAGGAGACTTTAAGGCACTTTGCAACTGTTGTCATAGTATAAAATAATTACACACATATATTAAGCTATAGAACTACAACGGTCGACAAAATACGAGTAAACCTTGCTATAATATGGCCCTTTTCCCCCCACATCTCAAATTTGGTTTGCTGACTGTCGTGCTACTATGTTTTTCATTACAAACTATCCAACATATAGTTATCATGGGAAAAGARCGTTCGTGCATGATAATTTTGTCGACAGCTGTAGGCCGTTGGAAGTCTTGGAAGGCTGCTGACTGTTTGATCAATAAAATCAGCACTATGCAATAAAACTGTTCTCTAAAAATAAAAAGGACATTCTAGTTGACATAAACGTAACAGTAAGACGACACATAACATGTTAAATAATTGTATAAGACGCATATAACACTGATCACTGTTATATGCAAATATGTTAGTGACAGCTTTTTATTTATAATCAACCCGTTGAACCGTGTAACAATGCTTAACAAGTGTTCAGTTACTAACAGAGCTCACGCAAATTGGGGAGAAAAMGAAAAAGAAAGAAGTGGACTGAACTGGATAAATGAAGCTTAAATCTAGACTAACCGAAAACACAAAAACCTATATACACCTATTTCAAAACACGTTGTGTCAGTCCAARATTTGAGATTTGCTACGATCGGAGACTAAAGGGATCGGAATTTTCGTACTTTTAAATTTTCCKGTTTGAAATTCAATTGATCACATCCCTGACTTAAAGCCTATTCTTTATATTCCCATCTAAAAGGAATCTACGTAGGGTATTAATAATTAATAGATAATATCAATAGAGAATACTACTAGGGTGCTAATAATATATCTACTATGT